TCATTACATGCATGTAATTGTATGCAGTTAAACCGTTACCGTAACCCCCCTGCCCCACCCACTTTTTTATTTGTAATCGCCTTTGTGAATCAACACGTTTGCTTTTATTCCGAACTGCAGTTAAGTTTAATAGATCTAATGGCCATGCAAAAGCATATCAAATCACGGAGCTACTGCAAATACTTTTTATGCTCTGTTCAACTGAAAAAAATGTTTGATGAATCACATTGATAGACATTTACCTTTCCTGAATACTTCTCCATGTCTGCTCTTTCTGGTAATTAGTGAGAGTGACTCCCAGGCGTCCATCGATGACACTACGAAACTCCAAGTATGAATTTCGTAGTTCATCGACTTCAGCCTGGGACCAATTCAACTTTCTCGCACGTTTGACGTTGACAGTTTCCATTTTGACAGACGACAGTGTATTTTGACATTGATTCCCGCAACGCCTCCCATAGTGAAGAGTTCTCAAACCTCCATTTGAAGAGTTACGAAATATTTTAACGTAAGTCTACGGAAAAACTTACGGAAGTTTTGTGAAACGCTCTTACGATTTACGTAAGTTTAAACGTAAGCGTAAAGTTACGATAATTCTTACGTAAAAACTTACGCAATGTTAGTAAAACGCTGCCCAGGTGAACAAAAAAAGTATTTAACACTTTGCAAACGACTATAAAATGTACGCAAATTACCGAAAATAGGCCATAATACGCACAAAAAGCCCTTACTGTGTTAGTATGTGATTAGTCAAATCATTTCTTTGATTGTCGATATTTTTACTTAAATCTTAGTTCAATTTTCGTAAGGCTGATTTTATTGAAATAGTTGGCTCATCTTAATGCTTCTTTTCTCGTTCTGCAAATGTTTGCTAATACGTATACATGTATATCATATACTTCCGCATAAGAGAAGAATTCTAGAACACCATTGTTTCCCTTTCCTTATTATAATTTGTGCTTGTTGGATTTGTACGCTTTTTTGTTTATAAAATAGTTCAAATTAAGAAGTTTGTCGACCAATACCTATATTTTTAATTTGAACATTGATTTTTGTGGATAAATTGTTGTTCGGTGTTTTATGTTTAAAATACTACTAGAATACTCGGGAATGTTCATTTGCATATGTTGTCTTTCTGTAATTAACATGTATTATGTATTTTCTCTTGTATTTGTATGTATGCATGTATTATGTATTTCTCTTGTATTTGTATGTATGCAAACAGAGTATTTGTAAATAAAACTTTAACTTGAATACCTCGCTGAAAGTCATCTTTGTTTGACCTAAATATAATTTTCTGTTATTTGTGTGGTTGAATATGTACTCAGACAGGAGATGTCCATTGGACGTAATGAGAGCTAATCACATTTGCAAAAAAAATTCAATTTTGATTCAATAGTTGATTGTCGGGGGTTGTTTTTTTTGTTTTGTTTCTTTTTGTTGTTGTTTTTTTTTAGAAAATCAGTAGAATATGCTGTATACGTTTATATGTAGAGCTCGATAACTAATAGTTAATCGGTTAAAATACAAATAAGAGGGACTTAGAGACCATACTCTGCTCACATGAAATCAAATGCCAGCAATGGTACCTTATAAACTCTGGCATAGGTTTGAAGATTTGTGTATACTACTAGGTAAAACGGTCAAGTATTCTTTCTCCAAAAGTTGAGGCAGATCTCTTTTTTAAAGTAAGGCACAAGTTTGGTTTTCATACTGGAACCGGAAAAAACTACATTTTTTTTATAAAAATGTAAATATGATTTAATACATGTTTATCAAATTATAGTTAAAACGTGTAGTCACTAAAAATTTGATAACACCAAATTAAGAATTTATATAAAAGTTTTAGTATATTTATTTACACAAATTTGTCTTTTAGCTATCTACATGTATATGTTTTGGAATGAACATTTACAAAACCCACTAATTTAACTAATTATTAAATGCTTCTTTATTTCTTCCATGTCCAACTTTGTCTTTTGCACACGTCCACGCTTCCCTGCGCAATACCTTTACTCAGCATTGGTCCATCTTGGTGCAAAAACAACGCAGGCCAAACAATGAAATCAAGGTAATGACCTCGAGTTGTGTACTCCTTGAATAAATCTTTATTAAATATAGCTGACTTTTCTGTTCTCTCACCTGTCTGCATTACATTCGCTCCAACTCTATTTCCACTGACATAAACAACAACGGGAGGGTCAGTGGCTACCATCAGTAAACAAAGTTCAATACACTTGGTCATATATTCGGTTATTTCTGGTTGTGTCAGGACATGTATAATCTTCGAATCGCCACAATGACCAATCAATTCATCGTTAAATTCCTAAAATAAAAATAAAGTTTTTACAAACATTTTCAATTAAAACTGATATAAAAATGACTGAAAAATATCATTTTAAACGTAATAAAACATTTACATATCACTGAACAGCAGATACGATTTAAAATTAAGGCTTAACACAAAACAGTTCAAATTATTTACCTTTTTAACTTCAGAAATTTTGTTTCTGATATTAGTCTTACGACTGTCCTTTAACCACTTTGAGACTTGTTTCGCCCCTGGAAGGTTCTGAAGAACAATAATTACTATTTCAACAACGCATTAGCATTTCGATAGATTTTGCATACAGAAATATGTTCATTCCAGTTAACTTTGATATCCTTTTCTACGAAAACATATTTATTACCGTTTATATTTTTTGATGAAAACATTTACAGAACAGACCTCTCCTTAAATCTAATAAAAATTTACAGAACAGTATTATATCTAATTAAGTTAACTTATGAAGCAAAGTAAAAAGCAATATGTCACCAGTCAAAGTTTTAAATTTAATATAAATTAGTTATTATATAATAATAAAATAAGTCTAATTGAAACCCTCTTTGTCATGTCATTATTTTTTTAATAATATTCATAACTGAGTTGTGTAACAAATTGTGTACGTTCGTTACCTAAGGAAATGTTATATGATCAAATCACATTAAGGAACTATTGAAAATAAGTACAGCTTATGTTAATTACCACAAAACATGCAAAAAAATGAACGTTTTACCATATCAAGAAACCACGTGTTCAAAATTGTCCATGGAACAGCGACGGTATTTTCACAATATCTGTATGCATCCTATAATTCCAAGAATAGTTATTATGAATTATAATGAGTGATATGTTTGCGTGTTGTAAGTGGGTAGTTATTAATCATATTTAAACGAACTGTGTATACATTCTCTAAAATAACTTTAAAATACATGTAGCTTTAAAACATTTTATTAAATAAGTAATGATAACGTATTAAATTACCGTTTTCGTCATATTTTGAAGATTTTTTTGAAATTTGAACATGATTAAAACAAGACAAATCACATTATTTTATGGAATTATAAAGAAAACATAAAGTAACTTTAATGCTTATTAATATTTTTCTGATAATGAGAGCCACATAATTTACCATGAAAATATCTAGAAGAACCACAATAGCGTGTTCTTCTCCAACCGATTCTTCAAGAAGAGAAAATGCATTAGTCCATTCATTGTCATACAACTCGGCGAACATTTCTGCAAGTTTTGTCGGTCGACACGGGTCGCTCAAGTCAACGATGTTTGGGTTGTTATCTCTTAATTGAACCGACATATGTTCACTCAATCTAGGTGATACATAATTCAATTATCAATACACTTAGAGATTTATCAAAAATGTCTTTGAAAATAAAAGATGTTAGAGACTTTTAATCTTATCATTTACAGACAGTTTGCGAACATGGGTTTAAAATAGTATAAAATCTATGTTCATAATGTTCACTGCTTTTCTTGGGCATTGAAAAGAAAACTAATATTAGTCGTAATAATAATCTATGACCTAAAGTGCTATTGTAAGTGTTTATGTTCTTTGCACAACAATATTGTAATGCTATCCTTCCGAGATCTTTAAGATTTCCTTATACCATAAAAAGGGGAATGTCAGAATTGAGTACATATTTATAAGATCCATAACCACTTTAGTAAGTATCTTAAGAAAAGGATCTAACTTTCTTTAGTAGATTAAATACAATTGAACATGTTGGTAATAATTTCCTTCATAATAATCTTTACGTTAAACAATTGAATTATAATATAGTCATTTCTTAGAAATAAAGTTAAACCTTCTAAGTGCTTCTTGTTTATCCTCATCCAACACTTTCTTTTCCTGATACAATGTTTGTATTTGCTTTTCTCTTTGCAGTATTTTATCCTTTCCTAATGCATTGTCCATTTCTAATCCTTTCATAACTCCGGTCTTGATACTTATTTCATTTTTTAGATTTACCACCGATTCTCTTAGTTCAGCATTCTCATTTTGTAAACGCCGAACTTCTTCTCTCACCAGTTCTTGACCATTATTCTCTAGAAATAGAGGATATCTATTCGCGACTCGCCTGAAATTGTATCACGTTATGCACTAGCTAATTAACGTAATCTAAATGCCGTTTTTATCATTTCAAGAATCAGTTCTAAATTGATAAATGAAAAAATCTATCGTCGTGTTACTGGATCCAATAAACTGAGCTTGAAAGAACTCCAATGAAGTTGCGAAACCTAAAATTTAAATTCCTTACACTGATCAGCTGGGCCACTTTAAGCAGCAAGATAGTTAAAATATTATCAGAAATGAATTGAATCGTATGTTTGTGCTATTCTTTATTCGATTTGTGATTTTCATCTTTGGGTTTTTTTCACAATTAGAAAAAAATATTCTGGAAAAACGAAGTGAGCGAATGGTCTGAAATTTTACACAAAATTACTGGAATACATTAACTTCATCAAATCATAAATTAATCTCGAAAAATTATTGCCAGTCAAGTCATGTAGAAACACCTCAGTGAAGTCCCTTTAAAATTATTGTGAAGTATCGGCCATTTTGACCTTTTCTTAATATAACTGACATACTGTCAGTAGCCTGTTTGTTTTATCGCTGATAACCAGATATTTTGTTTTAAGAAACGGTATAATATAATTTGAGTCGCAAAATGTCGCAAAATGTATGATAAAGATTATATATAATATACCTGTAAGCATACAACAACAACTGCAGTACCAAACTGACCAAAAAATCAAAACACTCTAAGCATGACGAACAACAAGCTGGAAACAAATGGAATAATCAACTAAACTATGACTATTGATAAAAAAGTATATTTAGACATTATTATCAGATAAGACTATCGAGAATGCTTAATGTTCTTCACGAGTCACACAATTGTACTCTAATGATTACGACTACTTACTTCTTTATAAACTAGACAAGCATTACAACATTAACAGAAAGAAATCATGCAGTTCTGTAATGACAACTCACAAACATACGAAGGAGACCTCCTGGTTATTAAATCCTCATCTGCGTCATCTATATCAACACTGTAATCCTTCAATTTTGTGTATTTTGGTCCTGTCCGACCCATTGTTGGTCTTCTTGTATTCCACTGATTACTCATTACTCCACTTGAAAACGAAAGAGGAAGAAAATTAAGATAGACTGGTTTAATTTTTCCAATTTAAAAATTAAGATAAAGAAATAAAATTCTGAATTTCTGCATAAATTCACTTCAAATTAAAATTTGAACCTAAAACGGTTTAATCCTTTGATAGATTATAATTCCTACTCTTCTTTGTGCAGACGAGAATTTGCGACATGTATATCAATACCAGGTACAGTTTATAAATATCGTCCTTAACTACCGATATAATTATACTACCTCGTTTCGATACATTAAAGCTACATATTTTCGCATGAGTTAACAAACTTGCACAGCCAAGAAAATAATTAAATAAATAAGTTAAAATAAAAGAACATAAAAGTGAGAAAATGATCAAGATGAAAGTAATATTAATTGTATTAATAGTTAAAAAGTATATAATTAAAACACGATACTATGATGATGAAAACAAGAAACTACGATGGCAAAAACTCGAAACAACGATAATTTTTAGTCGAAATAACGGAACAACGAAACCACGACGGTGAAAAGTCGAAACAACGATGGTAAACGCGATATTATATAGAGTTTTCAACATCATACTGTCTTTGTTTTGCGTTTTCACTGTCGTAGTTTCGTATTATCACCATCGTTGTTTCGTGTTTTCGACTTGTCATTATCGTAGTGTCATATAATCGTTGTAACAGTGTAAGAATATGGGTCGATGATCCTAACGGGCCATTGTAATTTTACACATCATGCATTTATTTTGTGATGTTAAACCGAAAAAAGATATAACGGCTGACTGACTTGTATATATGTTTGTTTGGCTTAAAGGCTTACGCCCAAACAACTTAAGTAAGCAAAAGAAGTAGATTAAAAGGGGTGCAGCTTCAGTAAGAGATATTAAAAATCGTTCAGCACGACAATTTTATTTTGTTTGTTTTGTGTTTGTGGTATTTTAGTTGTATCCATTTAATATTTTAATAATTTGATGATTCAAGTTTTCTTTAAAAAGACAATCATGTCACTAACATTTCCAGTTTTAAAGTCTTAATCAATGAAAAAGAGCTAAAACTTCCTAATATGTATTGGATTCCTAAATTACATAAAAAACCCTCAAAAGGCCAGATTCATTGCTGATTCAATATCTAGCACAACAAGTAAACTTTCTTTTTTATTGACATTGACATTTTATGACGTCTTCTTTGACTGCCATTAAAACACATGTAATTATAATTAGATATTGTGATAAAGTGTACGAAAACACCGGCAAACATCTATGTTGGTCTATTAAGAATTCTGATGAAAGTTTGGATAAATTGAAAATTAAGAACTATCTAGCTTCTACTGTCAGTACATACGATTTTTTCTACCCTTTAAACTGCAATGCTACATTATTTAATTAGCCACATAATTTAATTAATGATCAGCTAATTTTCCTAATTCTGAAAACCTTTGCACGGGAAAAATTACCTTTCTTGCATGTAACTCTCAAAAAAACCTTCTTTACAAACTGTATTGTAAAACAGGACCTATGACGAAGTTTGTAGAGCACTCTCTTTTCTTTTAAACAATATTTATGTCAGGTTTGGTAATACCCTATTTAAATAAATCATAGGAATTTCTATGGGTACTAACAGTGCTCGCCTGGTCGCCGATTTGTTTTTATATTGCTATAAAAGAGACTTTATGTTTGAGTCTCTCTGAAAATACACAACAAGATGTTATAATAGCATTTAATAACACTTCCAGATACCTTGATGACATGTGTAATTAGATAATTCTTATTTTGATCAAATGGTGTCAAGTATTTATCGTAATGAGCTACAACTTAATCAAAAGAATTCTTGAAATTTTAGTAAATCATTTTTGGATCTTCATATTACTATCAAAACAATTCTATTCACACAAAAAATACGTCATTGATTTTGGTCCACATTTAGATGGAGATGTACCGCATGCAACATCTTACGGGGTATATGTATCTCAGTAATTAGATTCCTTAGAGCTTGTAGCATCGTAAAGGATTTTAACGAGCGAAATAATTTCATTACTAGCAAGCTACTCAAACAGGGCTACCGCTAATATAAATAAATTACGTAAATATTTTACAAACTTTAACAATCGTAACTTTGATTTAATCTCAAAATTCAATAGTGATCTAAAACACTTTTGCGACAAGGGATTAGCCAGTCTGATTTTTATGGGGATGTTATTTACAAACTTCGTAAGATCTTGGGTCATTGGGATTTTTCTGTTGTCTTTACTAAAGTTATTAAACGTTTTATTTAAAGAGGCAATGGCCCTACTATTTTGAGACATACCGCATGCTTAGCGTTAAACCCTTTTACAGTTGGACGTTATGCTTTTCTCTTTTGATTACATCTGACGGACCAAGTGGGAGACTCTATGATTGACAGTTCTTAAAGCCCTATGGGACTGAATTGCCTTAATGTTCGTCTTCTGTCTTGCTTCGTCGGGCCCTTCTAGGAGATTTTTGTTGCTCTGTCTTCCTTTAAGACATTGAGTACTTTTGTTTTGGTCATTTGGTTTTCTTTAATATGTTTCTACATCATCAATTCAGTGCTTTACTTATTTCACCTTTTGTAACTATAACAACTGTTTGAATTTCACTTGCCAGGGATTATAGTTACACAGTCTCGTTTATTGGAACATGGTTGGGCTAAGAGTGAGGTTTGGTGCACCATAAACCGGTTAAAATTCCCCAGCAGTAATTGTGCTGTTGACCGTTCCATTTGAGGCGTTATTTCATACCGTTTTGTTGACACTTGTTCGGTCCCTTGTTTTCTCGTCTACGCTAAGTATCTTCCTTTTTGTCCCTAGTTTTCTTTATTTTAATTTTTTTTTTAATTTTGCCCCCCCCCGTTTCCAGTACTTCAAGTCCCCTTCCTATGTGCCCTTTTACTTTGTGTGCCTATTAATCAATCAATTGTATTTGATTGGAGAGGTCATCAGACCTCTCCACAGTGTTGAGAATGATTGCTGGCGGCATCCATTTTTGCGTATCAAATTGAAGCTAATGCATCGCATTTTAAGCCTTAAAACATTAGAATCAGTCTACAAAAATTGTTATGCGCATGCTCCGCCTCAAAATACGACTTAACTTAAACGAAAAATAAACATCGAAGTGAACAAATCGGTACAAGGAAAAATCGGAAAATATCATTTACGTTACTTAACACTACGAGCAATGGTTCATTCCGTTTTTAATCCTTTAAACTGTATAAATCGATACTTGTTTTCTGAATAGCGTTTTACTATTTTATGTTCCGAAAATTAGGAACAGTGAACATTATAGCAACAATATCACCATGCACTATTATATGACCGAGTGAACGGTGTACCGAAAATTTGCTGCTACTTTCACTTTTGAACTGGTATGACTAAATTACGCAACGAAGATTTTTTGGCGCAAATGGCGAAAACTTTTTCTAAAAACATAAGATAAACAAGGAAAGGCGGCGTTCAATGAACGCAACCACCACATGATTCAGCAACAAGAACCAGTGGCAAGGAGCGGACCCCAAACAAGTTTTTTGCATTTTTGTCACATTTTGTATTCCAACAAATTTAACATTATTAATGTAATCTGGACTTAAATTGTTATTCAAACTTATCTCGTTTTGGAAAATCTCTGGTGCCTTTAATACCTCCAAATATTTTCGAAATAAACAAATCTTCAACAACTGCAAAAATACCTCTCGCATGCTTCTTTTTAAAGAAGCAAACTTGTTTCCTTATTGGTCACTATTATTTCCTTTCGTGTATTATGAAGTGATATTCTTCCCGTGTTTAGGGTCCTCTTGGGCTCCTGGCCGCTTGTCCTTGTTGCTGTGTCGTGTGGAGTTTCGTTAATTGAACGCCACCTTTCCTTGTTGATCTTGTTTACCATATTTTCTTACTTTGAAACTGTTTAATCGACCTTAGAATAGTTTGTCTGTCTTTAGCTCCACTTGGCGTCAGTATCGGGGTTGGTTAACTTTTAATTCAGTTCTAATTTGGTATACATGTTTGTTGTCATAAAAGGTCTTCATTTCAAAGTGGTAAATTAACATTATATCACACCTGCTAGCGTTACAGACTGGTATTTTAACTCGAGGGAAACAGTTACCCGACAGTTATATCATCCCGTCTGTGATATCGATCATTTTCTAAAAATAAAAACCCATTTATAAAGACCATGTAACATATATTTAAAAAACAATGAAATAGTGTTAACATGGAAAATTTAGAAAATGTAGAATCATTGTTTAAATCTTGTTAAATAGATACTAGAACACTAGTTTAAGGAACACGCCATACAATGAATAAATAGCAGTAAAGGTCGTTCCTTATACTGTAGCAACGGATATGACACAAGATATATATAAACAACTTCAAGGACGTGTTTAAATGATTAAAGAAATTGTTTGATTCAGAACACTCTTTAAGGTTTAAAGTGGAAAGGATATTTTTAGAATGAAAAAATGAAGGATATACACGCGTCTATTGAAGGAGGGTTTACATTTATATGAAATTCATTTAATCTACGTTTAAGAATACACACTATTGTTTTCTCGCCAACCATTTTAACTATGGAAATACATCATTATTTACCTTATAATCAGAATGGCGGAGTTATGAAAATATCTGATGGCTGGGAGAACCTGAAGCGGAAACTTGATGATGACATAACTCAAGAGGTACTTGACAGGGTAAGATTTTAATCCAATAGTATTTAAATAGCAGGATTAAATTAAGTAAAAAAAACTCATATATAAAAACAGAACTTTATTTAATAGACCGCAGTATCATTTGAGAAATTTCGTTAACTCATTATTAAGAACATAGTTTGTTTCCATTTGAAACTTTTTTGAAAATATTTATTATGATTTATGTTTGGACCTCAGTGAAATTGCTTTAATCTTAGATGAAATCAGGCAATTGCTCTCATATGAGATATTTTTTTTTCCAGATTATCTTTCTCATTGATGATAAAATCAAAACAAACCCTGAAATCGAGACTGTCACGGATATCCTAAATACATTAGAAAACTCTAAGTCTTTCGAAGATGTATTGTCAATTCTTGAACATGTTTTCGGACATATGAACAATTATCCTGAATACGAAGACAAAAGTTTCTATCAACTTATAAGGAAATGTAGGCTTGTGAAAAGAAAATTTGGTTGCTCCAATATAATTGGACGAGAAAAAGAAATAAGAGAAGCAATCAAAGCTTTGGAGAGTTCTGATAACAACGGTAAAACTAACACATTTATTAACGTTTGCGATCTGTTTTTAAGGTTTAATTAAAGATACATGTTCTATTGATCTGGCAGTCATTATGCATTCCTACTTGTGATTCGATGTTTTAGCAACTGACAATTTTATTACATGATATTTAATACCCAATATTATAATACTTCAAGTTTGTATCGTCGCTTTTCATTTGATAATCCTGGCGTTTATATAGTTTTTTTATGTACACAGCTGAGAAATATCATTTTATGTCCCATATTATAAATTCGTTATAAAGAATACAGGAAGGTTATATGCCCTATATAAACGGTTGTTTACAAAATATTTGCTTAAAGCCGTTTAGTACCATAAAACATGTCAGAAATCTTTATAAATAATATTGTGTGTGTTTATTTCTTAAGTTTTTATTTCATGATATTAAGAATATATTTTGATGAAACATACTTATGGTGGCCGATTTGGAACGCTTTAGTGTGCGTCGTGTTGGTGCTAGCGACAACAGGACAAAGCGCCAAACGGCGCGTTATCCGACTTTCGTCTTGTCATCCTGTCACTGACGATGAACGCCAAACGGCGCGTTGTCATGCGGCGTGTTGTCACGATGTCAAATTGTCGCTCGGTTCAAATCGAAGAATTGGGTTATAAGCCAAGCGACAGGGCGACATCGCGACAACGCGCCGTACGACAACACGCCGGTTGGCGTGCTTCGCTAAAGACAGGACGACAAGACGACAGCGACAAGACGAAAAGGCAATAACGATATAGGTTGCGTTGTCGCTATCGACAACGCAACGCGCAATGTACCAAATCAGCCACCAAACATACCGACTTATTATAGCTAATTACAAGCTAAAGACAGATATAATGCATCTGTTTTTACTAATATGCTATATTGTTACACATTATTTGAATTTGGCACCATCTATTTACTTTTGTTGTGCTGTTTTTTGATTATATATTGAAGACAATACATGTAATCTCGTGTGGTAACATATGAATGAATTAATATTAAGATATTTTTTCTTAAATGTAATAAGGTTTATGGATATACGGAATGGGTGGACTTGGAAAAACATTGCTTGCAAATGAAATATCTGCACAGTTACATTTGTCTCGTAAAACTGCTGTAATCAAATTGGATTTAAAGTGAGTATAGATTTTTATGAATCAACTTTGAGTTTATTCTTCGTTACCGTTTGTCCCACTTTCTTATCCAATCAAATGCTTCAATTTATTTGAAATATATTGCATACACTATACCGGGACTGGTGTATGTGGAAAATAAGTTTACTTATTTTAACAGGTATTGACGTGGTATCTGGCAAATATGACGTTATGAATATGGGCGGAGTTTTAAATTAGACAATGAATGTAGCATGCGAATAAAGTAAACAAATAAGGAAGCGATTTCATACGGTTATCTATAAATCCCAAGCTTTTACATGTATAAAAATTATTCAAACAGTACATTCCCTATACCGTCATGGTTATAATTCAAACATTAGAAAACAGTTTGTGGCTGATCACTAAAAACAATAGACATGGAGTGAGAGAAATCTCAAAGTTCGAAACTAACACATATCTTTAAAAAATCATACAGAATATCCATTTTTCATAATTCCAAGACAAACTTTTTTCCACATTTTGTTAAAATCTCCACATTTTTAACAGTTGACTTTGACCCCTATACCCTCGTTAGTCAACTCGCGCATGCGTGGATCCAATATTCTGCGAAGTTCAGAAAAAAGGATCTTCAGTTTTAACAAAGTTCACGTGCATGGATTTTTCATTTCGAAGACACCGTTGTAGCCTTGCAGCAATGTTTAGTAAAGTTGTTGGAGGATAAAATTCACCATTTAAATGATTTTTCCTTTCAATTTCACAGATGAATCGTTGTAACCAAAAATCCATTTCTGCACATGAACGGAACTGCTCTATTTCAACGGGAATAGGATAACCAGGCTCTTGCTTAGTCTCTGGTTGTAGGTTGCGGTTTTCAGCCAACTCCCTGCAGATGCGCACTGCCCAGTTGTTGTTTTTCGTTTTATTATAGGGCACTGTATTTCTGTTTCTTCTTAATGTCATCAGATGTCAAAAGCTTTTCAGATCGGCCTGCAAAATGCAAATATCAAAAAAATCACTTAAATATGATTTTCAAAGTTGTTTTTTAATAATTGCAACAGCATTTTAGGCAGTTTAACTATGTTATGTTTGAATAATTTACTGTCACTACTTTGAGGTTTGGTGCTGGTTGGGCGTAGAAAAGCTGCGTGCTTGGTCATGTTAAAATTTGTATTTTCATTCAGATAATGATGCAGTTAGATATTGCGAGAATTCGAGAATATTTTTTTATAAAATATTTACCTGAGCTATTGCCTCTATTTTGCTTGTGTCTGCAATCAATATCAAGCAACCGTGACCACATCAGCACATTCGACAGGAAATGGTTCAAAAATATGATTCTTGCTATATTCATTATGTCAAACACAACCTGATCACAGGATTGTTACATGATAACTAATGATGTAAAAATACATAAAAACGCAAGGCTTTGATTGACAGGTCAGAACACTCGGACCATGTGTTGGCCTGTCAATCTATACTAGTTAGGGCGGGACTCGTATTACATCAAACGCAGTAAGGACACTTTGTAAGTGACTTATTCCACGAAAGTGGGTCAAACGGTAAGCCAGTTATAGTTCATATTTTAAAAAATATAGAACTTATTGCTGCGCTCCGCTACGCTACGCTTGCAATAAATTCCATATTTTTTAAAATCTGGACTATAACTATTACTTATTCTATCTAAATTTGTGTTCAATATAAATTCAGCGCTTGACATTTTTATATGCCGGAAAGAATTTCGGGCAAACAGGAGATTGACCTTTTATCAACCCCTCTATGCTATAAATAAACACAGGGAATGCAACGCCTTTTGCACACTCGATACACATTTTATCTAACTACACACGTGGAAAATCAATGTCAACAAACTAGTTTAGCAATTTCGATACACAATACAAAATTATTCCTTTTACAACCGCTGATATTTTACATCAAAGCATTGTATAATAATAAATTGGCAAAATTTAGTCAAATCAAATGTCAACAAAATATTTTAAATGACACTCCATGCGATTTGAGCGTGCAAAACGCGTTGCATTCCTTGTGTTTATTTTTAGTATAGAGGGGTACATTTGCCGTTATTTTTTTATTATTTGCTTATAGAATGACAATTTTCTGTGGTTATACCCCTTGCCGTCCGTCAGTGCGTAAGCAATTTGGTTTCCAGAATATAACTTTAATTCCATTTGGCCCACAGTGTTCAAACTTCATAGGATGATTGTCCATATTGGGTAGAAGGGGACCCCTATTGATTTTGGGGTCACAAGGTCAAAGGTCAAGGTCTTTATTCCCTTAAAACTGAAAACAGTTTACGGAGCATCACTTAAGTTCCAATTAGCCCACAGTGTTCACAATTCATAGGATGATTGTCCATATTGGGTAGAAGACCCGTATTGATTTTGGGGTCACAAGGTCAAAGGTCAAGGTCTCTATTACCTTAAAACTGAAAACAGTTTACGGAGCATAACTTAAGTTCCAATTAGCCCACAGTGTTCACAATTCATAGGACGATTGTCCATATTGGGTAGAAGACCCGTATAGATTTTGGGGTCACAAGGTCACTATTATCTTAAAACTGAAAACAGTTTTCGGAGCATTACTTAAGTTCCATTTGGCTCACAGTGCTCAAACTTCATTTGATGATTCCATATTGGGTAGAAGACCTCTATTGATTTTGGGGTCACAAGGTCAACGGTCAAGGTCAGTATTACTTTAAACTGAAAACAGTGTCCGGAGAATAACTTAAGTTTCATTTGGCCCACAGCGTTCAAACTTCATATGATGATTGTCCATATTTGGTACAATACTCCTATTGATTTTGGGGTCACAATGTCAAAGGTCAAGGTCACTTTTACTTTAAAACTGAAAACAGTTTCCGGAGCATAACTTAAGTTCCATTTGGCCAACAATATTCAAACTTCATAGGACGATTGTCCATATTGGGTAGAAGATCCCTATTGATTTTGGGGTCACAAGGTCAAATGTCAATGTCACTATTACAAATACTTCATCCTTACTAAAAAAAGAAAGCACTTTCGGGCATATAATGCAACGCCCAGCGGTGCTCTTGTTTATATTTGTCATCATATTTCATGTACAACTTATTCTTAAAGTATGATCCACCTAATGCATTAACTCCACTTTGAAGAGTATTCAAATAGGCTAGAACTACTGTCAGCTGTATTGTAACTGAGGGGCGTGGGTTCAAGCCCCAGAAGCGGCAACTTTTTCTTCTTTCTTTATTTTCTTTGAACATTATTTGTGTCTCTCATATCACTCTTGAGAAGAAAAAAGTGTTTCATTTTAATAATGAAATTATTATTGGTATTTATTGGCTAAGTTGTGCCAAATTCAAACAATCAAATATGGTACCTGATATTTTCAAAGTCTGATAAAATAAAAACTAGACGGTAAAATTATTTTATATTTGACAAGCGCAACCAATACACTTTTAAGAAAATTTATGCAAACTTTGAAAACAGCCCCTGATTTGAGTAAATGTTAGAGATATTTTGAATAAGGCCCTCCAAGTAGAAAGTTATCAAACAAGTACTTAAAATGGTTTCAAATATTTTGAGTAGAAACAATAATTCTGCTGGGTCATTTGTTAGCTGAATGCTATTATTTGTTTCTCAAAAATGTTTCACAATGATTATAAAATAGAATATTTAGAGTTTCTCATTTCTGAAAAAAAGACCTTCTAATAGCCAAGTTTTACTTAAGAAAAATCTCCATAACTCGTAAACCATACGGTAAACTTTGTTTAAATTTTGCATTCGTGTGTCTTTTAATGTATATAACTGACCTATGTTGTCAATTTTATAGTTCCTTATAGTGCCCATTAGGGGGCTCATACCTTAATGTATAGGAAATGTATTCAGTGACAAGTAAAAGATTTTTGTTGTCAACAAAGTTTTAACCGACGGATTATTCTTTTAAAAAGGCAGTTTAAAGACGCTGTTGAATTGATCAAAAGTCTTCTTGAAAAGTTTCAAGTATACTCAAGGAACTCCGAGACCAGTGCTTCTTTGACGAGTCAACTTCTGTCTCAGCTAGAAGTCAACAAACAAGGTGTCATGTATACCATACCTAATTATGTTCTTTATTGAAATACGCTTGAAGTAAAGTTTAGATTAATAAATATACAATTAATAAATATTTAAAACTATCTATTTCATATTACAGAAAACAGGAATAGGCTTAAAAATTACATGTGCATGCATAACAAAAAATATATCTTCTTTCCAAAATCTTTTTAAGTCCACATAACTTTGTGTTTAGATTTAGAAGTAAAATTGATTGAGATAATTTTGATTTGAACAATATAAATGTTTAAGGAACTCAAATACATTTTACTGTCATTAAAGATCTTTAAGAACATCATTCAGCTTCTTCTTGCTTGTAATATGATTATACTAGCTATAGGTATGTACAATTAGTTGACTCGTTGACATACTTACATACATAATTATACTTGTATGTTATATTTTATTTTACTCCTCTATCTATGTAATCGTATAATATATAAGGCAATCGCTCAAATTGATAGTTTACGTAAAAAACCGTTTTAAAAACAGCTTTTATTTCACAGACACGTGCATAATACTTGACAGCATTGAGGACGTTTATGACTTGGATCACGAAGAAGTTATTGACTTCTTGCACAGATGCTTTGCCACTTCAACAAATATGCCAGTAAGGACATCGTATTGTAACACTGAACTGTTTTAATTTAAGTATAGAAACTGTATACTGTTTTATTATAATTTAGGAGATCCTTTTTGTTTATTGATTCATTTTGGTTGTTTCTGTTCATGGTTTATGCAATGTTCAAGAAAACATGTTTGGGTAATCAGCATAAAGCACAGAAATGAATTCAAAAACTTGTTATTTGGCATATCGGTGTCAATCTTTTGAAATGCGTTTCATCCTTTTATTACATGTTTTATTTTTATTATGGATTCTGAACAATAATCACATTTTTTATTGTTTACGGGTCAGATACAGATTTAATCTCAGAATGAGGCATTTTAAAAAACTATTGTATCCGTTAGATTCAATTGTAGGTGTCATTGTATGGTAGATCATACCATCTATACACGTACACTCACACACACACACACACACGCACACACACACACACACACACACGCACACACGCACACACGTGCGCTCGCGCGTGCACACACGCGCACACACACATATTACCTTTCCCTTTTTGTATATTATTAAAAGTAATTATGTGTCATTTTAGATTAAATGGATTATAACATCAAGAAAAGATGCAGGCGTAAAATTTGACGGACTGAAAGAAATAGGACTAGGACCTTTGAATGATGGCAGTGCGGAAAAATTGTTCAAAATTTCAACAGGAAATGTAATTACTATTTTTATGAAATGATTTCTAATTTCCCTTTTGTAAAAGTAACTGTATCATGTTGAATTAAAAATGGTAACTAAAAGCCCAGTATTGTTCAAAGGCATATAAAGTCTATACAATATTTTCCCCAAAGAGAGGTCAAAGCTATGTTTAATTATATTTTGATAATTGATTTCGAGCATACTAGACGTTGACCACGTGCAAAAAGCAGAGATGAATGTGAAATAAATTATTATAAAAGAACCTAAATGTAAAAATATTTGTATGTTATCTTTAAAACAAAATACCACATTACTATAAGTTTTTGTGATGACAAAAACGAAGGAAAAAGTTCAACTATATAGTGAATGTGTCAATGAACATAGCATTGTTTAAGCCTAACGTGTCTGAAAAAAATGGTGTTCGTTTACCGATTTACTTGCTGTATAGAATCACTTCTGATGTGTTTTAGTTTCTTTTCACGAATTGAATAATTGCGCCATCAACATGTATACTCGTATTTGATCAGCGATAACAATGTTAGCATGTTTGTAACATATGTAATATTGATGGGTAAAATTAAGTGAAATAACATAAAACGTTAAACTACAATTGAGATGAATCAAAAGACGTAGATATAATATGAAATTAATGCTTATTTTTTAGGTTGAAGTACTAAATGAAATGCATCACCGTATCCTTCAAAAGACGGATAATAACCCACTTGCTATTAGACTTGTATCATCTGCTTTAAATTCTTACAATGTTGATGGTAAATTTGACAACTTGTCATTTCTGAGTTCACAACTGCAAACCAGTATGTACGAATGTATTGAATATGCATATATGTCCCTAACAGAATCTGAAAGAGCCCAACTGAATTTATTAACAGTAGTTGAAACCTCCTATTTCGACATAGAAATAGTTAAAGCTGTTTTAGAAAAAGATGACGAAGAAGCACTTCTCATTTTGACGACACTTATCAATCGTCAGCTTGTTAAAAGGATATGTTACGGACGCTATTGCCTCCATCACTTGATACTTGATCATATTAGGAATCGACCTGGTTACGAAGAGTGTTCAATGAAAGCACAAAATAACTTTTGTCAGCATATGATTGAAAGGTTAGAGCCATACGTGCAACAGGCAGATAAGGACTACTCGGAAGCTATAGCTCTAATTTCTAGCAATAAGCCATTTCTGAAAGTCCTATTCAATGCCCTAAGTATTCGCAAAAAAGATAGTAATCATTTACTTACAAGTGATGTAAGCAAAACTTTAATACGACTGCAAAAAATGGTTCCAATGACAAATAACGAAAAAGAAATACTTTATAGAAATATAACCATGCAAATACTTCCCGATGGAAGACATCATGCAAATATGTACTGGAAACTTGAGGAAATAAGGATGATGGAGGACAATAATAGGTTTACTGATGCAGAGAAAGAAATATCAATTATTGAAGAAACATTAAGAATGATACCTGAAGACAATACAAGCTCAAGTATTAAAGGAACATTTTGGTACATTAAGGGAAGATTCTTTCGTCTTAAAAAAGTTAAACAATATATCGATGCTATTGAGTGCTTTAAGAAGTCGCGTTCTATCAATAAGCGTATAGGTAACATTCCTGAATATACGGAAGCTTTAGATGCATTAGGAAATACATATTATGATATGGGAGATGATGAAACAGCTTTATATTATCACCAAAAAGCATTTGATATACTACAAAAGTATACATCAGACGAGTTTCATCCAGACTTATCTGTTTACGAATTTAATATTGGAACTATATATTTCTCAAAGGCTGTGAAAGAATATTCCATTTCCAAATACGTCACAAAAAATGCAAAAGAATACTTTGCGAAATCTATTCAGATTTTCGAGAGATCTTTGCAAAAGGATAAAACGATGAAAGTACACAAAATGCAAAACTATGCAAAAAAGTTATCCCTTATGGCAGAGGCACTGTTTTATATAAGTAATAGTGATAACGAACGTGCAGAAGCAGTTGGTATAATGAAGGAATCACTAAAAATAAAAAATTCTTCCTACACAAAACCTACTAGGAATAAAACGTTGGCGATTTTTAAAACAGGACAGGCCTTTTTGAAATGGCGAAGAATATTTCCACAAAACGAAAGTATGTATTTTCTTCTTAGATAATTTATAGAGAAAAACAACCAAATCTATTTTAATAGATTCTCATAGAAATGTCTCTGTTTCCTAGGAATACACATTAATTGCGCAATAAAACGTTTAAAGATTTGTTACCTTCTTATTTTTCTTATTTTTTTTTATTTCAGGCATTAAAAGAGATTTGTTGGTTGAAGCAACATCGTGTTTCGTAAATGTAATAAATGAAATCAAGAGCAACAGCAGAGCGCGTCTTGATGAAAAAGATACAGATCATCTCTGTGATATTTTAAAAAGAAAGATTTTAAAAGCTGTTAGTGAGAAAACCTGCAAATCTATCAAAAAATTTATTCAGGTATTATTTTTGACTTATAGACGGCAGTCGTATGAATCATGTTGTATTTAGTTCTATTTTACTATATACTTTTAATTCTTATATACTTTACAGCAATGTGCCTCGGATTCATCCTCAGAATCATCATCAAGTCTTGATCATAATGACAGTGATGAAGATCAAAACAGTAGTGATAACAACGATATTTCAAGTTCTGATGATGGCATATTATGTGCAGTACTCGAGAAGAAGAATGCTGCTCAATTTCAAGAGAATTTTTTCAGTGAAATAAGCAAAATGGAAGTATCTGGTAAAGTTTCCAGAAAGAGACGTCAATCATTTGATTCCGAGTAAAGTCAATGTAGTGCCGGGGTTTGCAGACAAAAATACTCAATGGGGTTTTCTTTTTATTCTGGTACAAGAGCCTATCACAAATAAAAAGATTATAAGACAAATAACAAAGAGAAATATTTTGCTTTAGACAATTCATAAATTACATGCATCTATTTTACAATTACAATGATTACAAAATATACATTATTAACATTTCACATTACAAATAGAATAAATATATACATACCAAATTTAATGTAGAATATTACTTAGAATATCAATATATATAATGTTTAAATCAGACGATCATAAATCTAGAAGTATTTTCAATAAAAAATAAATTCTTTACGAAAAACATGTTATTACTTTGAATACAATGATCAGTTGCTAAGAAATGTTAAATCTATCCAAGAGCCAATCTGCTTAAATTTTACCACTTTCACATAAATCAATCAACTTGCAGATCCAGTTCAATTACCTATAACAAAATGACAATAAGCAAAACATGAACACTAACACCACAATAGATTTTGTCTGGCCTTTAAGACAAATTACAGTATACATAATAGAATAAAAGACTTGATATTTTAAACCTTATCTGTATTTATGGTGTGCTTAAAATGTCATCACTATTCTTGAAAAAAGAGAAATAAAGAGAAGGAAATTATTACAATATCCCAAGACTTTCATGTTGTTTTGAAGGAAGAATTTGTAGTTTACGTGTAGTTTATAGCTTGCCAATTACTCAGACATTCTATGCATCATCATTATTATCTGTTTTGTTCTTCTGTACAATAAGATATTGTGAGCGGTTTAAGATGACGGAAGATAATTTTGTAATCATAAGATAAAAGAGAATTTCACTTGGCGAATAAGAAGTATCTAATTTACACAATATTGTTTTTAAGCTAAGTGGTGGAAATAACGATAGATGTTTTGCGCGCTTTATCCGGTTTAACCTCCCCAATTGTACTTTTGTGGCGTTCGTTCGTGATGTCCTTTAAATGTTTAATGAAGATGTTTTTATTTTAATTTTGAGTGGTAATTCTAGCAGGAAATGCTTAAGGATGATATTTTAGGATTGGTAATTTGTCCGCCTTGAAAATAGGTTAAATATTACTCTAGAGATCACAGATTTGTTTGTATTTCATTCAAAGGTGTCCAATGTTTTGTCAATAACACCTTGCAAAAGTTAAACATGGTTTAGTTTAAACATTTTTTATTCCTTTCAATTTTTTTACAAGATGCACAATGCAAATATATTGAAAAATACATAAAAATACATTTTGAAAGAAAAAGGGTTGGACCACATGTCCAAATAACATTAGTAATTCGGTCCGTCCCTAAAACATGGGTACAATGAGGCAAAACACTTGAACAAACGATAACATGTTTTTTCTTCAAGTCATAATGAAACTTGCTCAGAATAACAGTTTTGAAAAAAAACCTTTTGTCAAATTTGTATATGGGTAATCTAGGGTCATAAGCGAAGTCCTTGTTTCTGGGTGTTGTGGCGGTTGCGTTTATTGAACGCCGCATTTCCTTGTTGATCTTGTTTATCATATCTTAAGTAAAATATGAAAAAGGAGATCAATTTTGAAGGGCGGCATTCAGTGAACGCATCTGACAGCAGGACACCAAACAGGACGGAGTGAACGGTCAAAACGCGGAAGGCACGCCACAACAAACCATTCAAAATCGGATATTATAGAAACCTTCAAGGCAACAAAAGATAAAAATGAATTAAAAGACCTTCAAAAGGACATGGACGCTGAGGAGGGTGTAAATTGAAAAGAAATATAGGGGAAAGGGTAGATACTTACCGTAGACGAAAAAGAAGGGACACAAAAGTGTCAGCACAATATATATGTAACAAAAAACGAGACATACATGTGGACCGCCTTTGAACGGTAAGCAACATAAGCACTACTGGGGATTTTGAACTAGTTATTGGTCCATCAAACCTCACTCTTAGCCACGCCATGTTCCCTTAAAACGATACAATGAAAATAAAATGAATTCCCGCCAAGTGAAATACTAACACATGTTACGGTTACAAAAGGTGAAGTAAGTTAATCACAGAAATGATCATGTACATACATATAAAAGTAAGCCACATAAGAAAGGCACATATGAGATCGTATTTAAGGTCGCTCACTATCAATGGTACATGGTAACATACTTCAACATACTTCAACGATTTTGTGAATTAATGCTATTTTATTTTCTTTTCTTTTGTTTTATTAAGATTTTCAATACTTCAATAAAAAAAATGATTTTTTTATGCGTTGTTAATTTCAACTTTTCATCTTAAGTAAACTACATCCACCATTCGTGGGTCAGATATTACAATCAAGAAGTCCTTTTCATTTGGTTATCCTTTATTGCAGACATGCGTGTATTATTCATAAATCACTGCAAAGACATCTGTATTGTTTCTTCACAATTGAAGTATACATGCATATTTCATTTTAATATGGTTATATGTAACACATATTTATTAAAATAAAACGTATCCGTATCCATTACTTGTTTGTCCTTCATGAAGATTTTAAACTCAATATTTTAAAGTATAGTTTTATCTTATACTTAGATAGAACTATAGAACTAGTTATTTGTTCTATATCGATATTAAGAATCCTGCTATGAGTTTAGACAAAGAGCATCAACAGAACTACAAAAAGTTATCAAGTTAAATATTCTTAGAGTTGCAACATAACCATTTATTTTGAGAAAAGGTTCATAAGATTTTTAGCAATGATGGTGCGGATGATACGAGTACATTTGTATATATTGTAACCTTTGTCAGTTATTGTCACTTGCAACGTATATGACGGCCAGTTTTTATGGGTGTTATGTATAAGGCGTCAAGACTTGTTTCGTATGAAGATAGCTGGTGATGTCATAATTGAAGCCGAAGAGAGAGGTGGTACAAAGCAGGCAAAGACTGGAAATTGCAGGAGGTAAATTATCATCATTTTGTGCGTCAAAATAAACCCTTTAAGGGCATGCCTTGTGGCATGTCGGGGATCCGATAACGAAATATTGCCTTTTGTACCTTAACGGCCGAATAGACCCTCATCAAACATAGACTGCATACATTCATATTGACTCTTGTCGAGGAATACCAGTACAACCATGTACTAAGAGTGGCCACATTTGTTATTTATAATCAGCCTATACTCATCATAACGGCCAAATTAAGAGCACCACGTTGTTGTTTTTAATGTTGTCGATTTAACTGTTAAAATTCATACAAAGTCATTATAATGTAACGGTTAGATACATTCGTAACATGTTCGGATAATTTTCTGGCAAAATAGTACGTCTTAGATATCTGCTTTAACGTCTCAGATTTCACATTCAAAAACAAATTTATCAAGACCATTTTTTGTTAATAAATTGGCAAACGTTAAAAAAAGACAACGCTGTATGCACTATCAATAACTCACCCGTATTTATGTATTACAGACATTGCCTACAATATATCGATATCCTCTATTGATCATCATTTAAAATAAATTGTACAAGCCACAGTTTACCTGCGTGTTAGGTGACATGTTTAAACTTAAACGGAATGTATTCAATATAGTCTTTATCATATAATAAGTTTAATCAAAAGTTATGTAAACACGTTATCTTATAGTTTAAACACGTTGAGCGAAAAGTGAGTTCAAGTACATTTTTCCACTTAACACTACTTCCGCTTTTGGCAATGCTTTATTACTTTACAAAACATGTACTAGTAGTGTTAGTTCATATGCTAAAACAATATATTTGTTCCTGTGGATAAATAGGTGACAAAAAGCTCAATGTGAATTTTTTATATATCATTTTTAGAGAGATTGTTATAAAAAAACTTAAACTTAAAGAGAAAGTATTATTCACTGTCGGTAAGTCTATTTTACTTTTTCCATGTATATTCAACTTTTTGCTTTAAGAAGTTTGAAAATGAATTAAGTAAACGGCACGTAATTGTGTATTTTAAATATTGTAAGATATCAAGTTTCTGTATTTGATAAACATTTAAACTCAATACAAGAGACGTTAACAAGTTCGTGTATACAGATGATATTAATAACCATTTTTCGAGTATAATAATAGGTACATACGGAATATTATGTTTTAGTAGCTTTCTGAGCTACAAGCAGCGTTAGAGACCAAAGGTCGAGCGGGATATAATATTCCCCTGCTGCGAGTAGCTCAGAAAGCTTTAACAACATAATTATCCTCTTATTATATACCTACTAACATTCTATAAGTTATTTATAGCTGTCAAGAAATAAAACTAACGAATGACGGGTTAATTCGTATTTTTTTTAAATGAGGCCACGCCTTCAAAAGTTTTGGTTCCCGTTGTCATATGTTACGTTATATATACACAGCTAAGATGGGAACAAACGTGAAAAATAGTCCGGCACTTCCATATATGGAACCGTATTTGTCACTAGCATAATACGTATTTTTCTATCCGTTGAAGGGTATTCGCGCGTCAAGATTTGCATTTATTTTAAGGTGAAAATTTATAGGTATATAATACGGATCAAAAAATTACATGAAGTGATCACATAACACTAAAATCAATTTATACATTTAAGAAATTGAATAACTAAACTTATGAGACAATATTCACAACAATTAAAGTTATTACAGACAATATGATGGAATTAGATCATCATTTTAATGCGATGGACACTAGGGATGTTTGGGAAAAAATCAAGCAGAAACTTGACGATGAGCTGACACCTGATGAACTGGAAAGGGTTTGTTGTTGTTTTTTGGTATTAAATGACGAAACGCATTTATGTACGTCACAAAAAAAGAGTAAAAATTAAGTTTTATGTCAACATTTCAATTTGTTGTATCTTTGCCTGAAGAAGTTTTCTCTGTTTGATCATTTTCAAGAATAACAACTACACTTTGAAATTGAAGCCATTTAATAATAAATGACGGAAAAACATAAAATACAATGTTGATATGAAAGTTATCAAGCTAACATAAAATTGTGAAATGGCCATTTAATAATAAATGACATATAAACATATAAAACAATGCTGATATGAAAGTTATAATATAACATAAAATTGTATACAAAGCAAGCAAACATTTCTGAAAAATGTATATAAAATTATATACACACATATCCCGAAAAATTATCAAAGGTTGGGTTCTAAGAATATTGCCACAAATTGTGTAAAACAATATTCCCCCAACCAAAACTTCTTTAATGAAATTGACTAGTCATGTAAAAGGGGACAAACAAAATCATTCTTTAAATGTCTGAAACAATGCTAATGAAAAAAAGTTAAAAAAGAAAGCAAACAAGAATATTAAAAATATGTACATCACAAGATGATAACTAAACTACCTAATATAAGACAACATTTTTATTGGCACAATGGATTTTAATTAGCTGTATGTGTCAGAAGGCACCTTGTATGTCAGAGGCCCTTGTCCCCATGACATAAAGTAAACTTGTGACTGAAATAAATGCTGTCTTTATTAAAATTACCTTTTTAAAGTAAAGCTGTCTACTGATATCACCATATGTGTAATATCCAAATAGATCTTAAATTGATACAATTAAAATATAACCATGATGACATCTTAACCTAAAACATAAAGTTTTAATTTACCTCAACACAAAGGAATAATCATGAATTTAAAATTGAACATTATGTACATAACAAGAGACATACAAATTCTAATATCGTAATATGAACATATTACATATTATTGGCACAAACTTACAAGTGAGTGTCTGTGTTGGAAAACAAGTTTTTGTCAGAGGCCCGTGTCCCCATGACAGAAAATGATGTTGTGATTGTAATAAATGCCGCCATTCCTTGAAAAATACACAAAAAAGGATTATGTGCATTCTGGTGCAAGGATATTTAAGATTGAAAAGGAAAAGTGTTAAATAGCAAAAACTCCAGGTACTTCAAATTGGCACAATGGTTTAACAAATATATATTGTTTGAAAACACCTTACTGTCAGAGGTCCCTGTCCCCATAACATAACTTAATTTAGTGACTGTTGTTATGCTAGAAAAACACATGTTTACAAATTATTTGCATTATTTGTGCAAAGTTGTACATTGAGATCATATTAATTTGAAAGAAAATGGTATCAAAGCAGAATGACTATGGCTATATGTCAAAGGCCCTTGTCCTTATGAAAACAAAGTTAACAAATTATTTTTACAAATCTTGTGAATGCTGCTGACAATTAATGCATGTAAAACATATTATGCATTTGTTAAAGGACTGCTATCCATTTGCCATTAATTACACTTGTAACATTGGAATTCTTATATACTTTTTAAATGCACTAGATGACCATCTGCCTATAAGTTCAATCTTTTCTTCTGAAAAAACCTTGTTGTGCTGCAGTGGAGGCAGCTCCAATTCTAAAATTATGCCCTTTGTATTTTGTTGGGTCTAAACCAGCCCAGTTCAAAGATAATCTCAGTTGTGTGCTAAAAAATAGCCTAGAAACCGGAGTGCCATCCATGAATCCAAATAGTGGCCCAGTCGACGCTTTTCGTAATCGCAAATATTCATTTAAAGCACTAACTGGACAAATTAATGAACCATTCTGTTTAATGAATAAGACCTTAGCTGCTCCATGATAGTGTTTGTAAGTTGTCATATATAGTTCAAAACCTTGGATTTTAGAGTTAGAATAAATAAACTTAACATCAGTTATGAAAAGATTGTTCTCCGAATTTTTGTTTGAGACAGTAATTTCTCTAATGTGTAGAAAAGCATGGGAAGCTACCAAATACATGGCTTTCAACAATGAGCGGTGAAAATAGGAAGAATTGGTATATCTTAAGGAATGTAATAGTTTCTGTAAAATATCAGTTGTTATAGGAAGCCATTGATCTATTTGTTTCTTGTCATTGTTGTATCCCTGCAACGATTTTTTCACCAAAAAAGATGCTGTTGGGTCAGGCATTTGAAGTATTTTATGTTTATAACCAAAGGCTGAAATATATGTACACACAGTTGTTCCCCAGTCTTAATTTTTAACACACAACTGTGCAAGTCCCCATTTGTAGCAATGTGCTATAAACAGCAGTAAATGTGAAACTAACACGGGCCTTTATTACACATTGCAGACTTTAGTTTTCATTAACTATTTATGTTTATTTCTTTCAGAAAAGGTAGAAATTTTCATACTTACGCATTGTTGTTGTTCAATAACGGTTAAAGTAAATATATTTTACAGGTTATATTTCTCATTGACCCTACAATAAAATCATACTGGGAGAGGAATGGTGATATCCGTAGCGCAAAGGACCTCATTAATGCATTAGAAAATTGTATGTTTTTCGAAGACATATTGTCAACTCTCGAACATATTTTCGGATATACAAATCAGCATATATATGAAGGCAAAAGTTTTAGACAAATGATAAGTGACTACAGTCATGACAGAAGAAGGTTAGGTTGTTCAAATATCATTGGACGAGAAAAAGAAATAAGTCAAGCAATCGACGCGTTGACCAATACAAAGAACAAAGGTATATTTTAGCTCTAAGATCATAGATACGTTATTTCAATAACGCGATAAAATGACAATTTTCTTAAAGTATTAATTTTCATATTTCTTTCTTGTACATGTTAACATCAATTTCCTTAACATACTGACAATGGAAATTATTAACTACTTATTACTGTAGAATGTCGATATTGAAACAAACATACACGGATTTTCTGCTGTGTAGCATGTGTAGTTATATAAGTTGATTAGCTAGTTTAACCCATTATGAGCAAAATCATTCATCACTAATTTCGGAAAATAATGCAATTTCCCAATCACAGCCTAAATATCATGAAGTAATTAATTCAGCCTTTCCCACACTCTGAACCCAGACAAAAATGTAGATAATAATTTACTTTATCGCACAAGTGAAACCTAATAAGTAATACTGTTTACAAAATAATTAAAAATGATGCATGAAAAAAATATTCATGGAGATATCAAATGCTCGAACATTTTGCTTAAAAAAAATAAAATTTAGTCGTGAATTATTTAGTATTTATATGATGATGATATATTATTGCACACTTTTATTTTTATTTCAAAAGAAGGAAGATGTAGCATTATAAGCTGATTAGCCAGTTTATAATATATGCTATGCACATTCTCGATGTTAGGGACTTTAAAAGAATAAATTTGCATCTTGTAGAGTATACTCGTGTTTAGGTTATATCACTATTTTGTGAATTCTTGATTATTATAAATCATAACAACAAAACAGCCTGCAGGAGCACACCTGGGCTTATTTTGAGTTAAGACTTAAATCACGCAAGGTGCTATCACGCAAAGAGCTCCCTTGGTGGAAAGTGTTAAAACGGCGCGAATTTCACGAAAATGTAATGGAAGTCATTTTCATATTATTAAACAATATCAAGAACTGAACTATGGTAGTTGTATAATATGATATGCTCGTTAATCACGTGAGTTAAACTTAGTATAGACTTGTATCTTTGATACCAGAGTTTGATAGAATGCTTTGGCATGTAAACACGTGTTTTCGTAGTTAGTTCAATGGTGTTATGGTGATAACTGACCATCGGTCATTCAGTACAATCGTGGTCGGTAGTGTTCTTTTAAAAGCCGCAAGAAATGTTACAGTCAGTTTATAAAATGTCGAGGGCAATCTGCGAGATTTTATACCGTAATTGTATCAAATGTCGCGGCTTATAGAAACTCTCGAGTTTTGTGTCTCTTCTGTCGTAAAAAAAACGAAATAGTTTCTGTAAACATAGTATACTAAACTACACAAACATATGCCTACTTTAGGAAGTGGATTGAGACCATTATAATCCGTGATATTTTGGTTTAATGCATACCTTGCAAAAAGTCGAGTTTGAGCATTAA